GGCAGATAACCTCGTTCGGTCGATCGTCGAAAGAAACTCCGTCCAGTGACGTTGAGGCATGCGGCTGGCGCGACCGGGTCTCAACCACGGCTGCCACCTCGCCGCGCTCGGAGCCTGCCCCGGTTCACACTGTAGGGTCAGGTTGAAGGAATAATGTTCAGGTTTGTATAATTAATCCGGTATTGAGTAATAAATGCGACTTTAAAAAATAAACTCTGGTTTTCGTTAATAGTTTCCGCCCACCGTACAAATATTAGAAGTCGCTTGCTCATGCAATCAAATTTACTTCGCCAAAAAATTATTTGCAAAATACCTTTTTGAACACGATACCAAATCATACATTTACTATTGGTTTTAGTGTCACGCTTAACCAATTGATTCCATGCATACTTGCCAAATAATATTAGGTTAAAAATCAGTTATCTAATAATTATATCATTCCTTAGTTGGCACAATATTTAAATATATTTTGATGGAAATATATTTTGATGGAATTTTATTTTCGTAATTGTGAGATATGGCCAGTCAGTTCAAACTGTATATGATTAGACATTTTATTGTTTGGGAATAATAATTATAATATCTTTTACTAACTTATTTTCATAATATGTTATTCTATTAAATGTTAATTCGATTATAAATTTGATTTTTTTAAAGCCCCTCCACTCGTTTGAATACCATCGAGAGACGTATTTTCGAAGGGTGGCAGCACTGCACTTGAGAACGCGCGGCACTTTCCCATTTATTTACTCGTCCGGAAGGTTCGCACGGCTGCAGACGAAACGGGCAGTGATCTACGGGCTTTATGTAGGATTTGCAATTCAATGAGAAACGCACATTACACGCGAAATGCATAAATATTCACGGGCCGCTTCCAGCTACGTTACCTTGATGTTGCCTCTAATCTGACCCACCGGCGACGTTAATGCATCGCAACAGGATGCTAAACACGCAATCGTTGGTCGTATGTATTTTCCGTTTTCTTAATTTGGTCCATATTTAAATGCGTACGGTACGGCACTTTTTGCGAGTAATCTTTACCTTGAACTCGTTGTGCGTTTTCTCAATTTAGATGAAACAATGTACTGTTGCAACATTTATTATTTTCTTTGTAAACAACTGATGCGCATTCTTAACTGGCGAAAATGACTATTACTAATTCAACGTGAAAAAAGTAAACTGGCAATTCTTCGGAGCATCATCAAGAAGAATTCTTCAGAACACATTTTTCTTTATTATTTGTCTATCAGTTAAGAGCAAAAGAACATTTTTGTCAACTCTCAACAACAAAGCTAGAATATTATTGTATATATAAATTAACACCACCGAAGGAAAAGTATTACCATACTGAAATCTGTGCATTCTAGTAGTACGTTCTTTATGCTCCTGCATTTGGGGGGGGGGCAATTGGCCGTCTAGGACCACGCGGACATACACCTGCACTTACCGAGGCTCAGGTACATTTATCCTCTGGCAAGAGTATTTGACTCCTTTTTGGGGGGTTCGGCATTGTGTTGAATCAAATTTTATCCCCCAGGGTTCCTAGATTTAGAGGGATGGAAGATGGAATTATGATGATGATGATGATGATAATGAAGGATGAATGGATAATACAAACAAACACGCACACATACACACACATTCACAAACCCATCCATGCCAGATGAATTACACTCAACCTGAACGCAATACTAACTAACTCAACCTGAACCCAATACTAACTAACTCAACCTGAACGCAATACTAACTAACTCAACCTGAACGCAATACTAACTAACTCAACCTGAACGCAGTTCTAATTTTTTGTCGTACTATCCACTTCGTCGAAAAAAGGATTAACTATAATGTCAATATTGCTTTGAAAAAATAATTTTTAAACACTCGTGAACTCGAGTTAAGTACCAGCAGATTTAACAAAGAATTGTCAAAAATAATTTGGAAACTACGTCGGAGTGAAACAATAAGGACAGCTTTTCGAACGCAGAAATCACTAGTTCTGAACTCAAAAAATATATTAAAGGCACTTCTATGCACCATACGCGCTTCAGCTCTCTAAGGATGTACAGCCCCAAAGAAACAAGATTGTGTTCTTGCTCACATAATAAAATGAAAACAAATTCATTCATTTATCATCTGGGTGTGAGAACTTTGCAGAAGACTGGTACTGTAAAGAGCCATTAGGCTATTCACCGAAGCTCCGTTCCCACGCACCACAATGTGAAAGAATTACGAAAGGTCTTTATCTTCTTATTTCCTGTGGGAAATAATCTTGTGAAGTTGTGTTTTACACACAGCTTCAACGTTGTTGTAACATCCTAAGTATTATCTCGAAGATGAGTGAAAAACAAACAACACAAGTTGCTCACAAGTCTGCACAAAATGTTTAGTGCAACTTTACTGAAACCTCTACTTTAATATATTTGATATCATCGGGCCATTTAGGAATCTAACTCAATACTTCAATACAGCGCAATACTCGTAGTTTGAAATATAGTTTAATGGTGATGTTTAAATGATAATGAAGTCATAACGAGCGTTAATACTTCCTCGCCGTCTTCGTATTATCTCG